GGTAAGCTGAGGTCAAGGGATCGACCCCTGGGATCTGCATCGGCTACTGCCAAAGGTGAAAACTGTTTCACTATGCGTCCTGGGTGATACTGTTTGGGTGGGTGCTACTGCATTGGGTGGGTCATACTATGTGGATCGAACAGTAGTATGTGGGCTGCCCTGTACAATGTAGGGTATGTGGGTGAGGCTGGGTGGTACAAACGGAAAAGGAAAAGAAAGTACCACCAGAAAAATAGAAAAAGCCAAGCCCACGTGGATGAATGGAAAACCAAGGCCATGTGGCTGAATGGTACACCCATTTACTGTTGATAAGCAGACCTGAGCTTGAAGTAACAAAACAACTCTCAGTTCTTTTCTTCGTTTAGTGCTCGTCTAATCCAACGAAGACAAACATGGCCAACGTTAAACCCATGCGCCTCTGGTCACTGGATCTGAGCTCGTGACCTGCTTACTGACAATCAGGTATCTTGTATTCACACATCCAATGTCCCTCGAAGTTCGAAACATTAGAGGACGACCAAAAAGAAAAGAAGCCAAAACACCAGGAACGACAAAATGAGGGACAACTAAAAAGAAAAAGAAGCCAAAACACCAAAAAACGACAAAAAGGCAAATTGGGAGTCTCTTCACCTGAAAAACGAAACAGCCAAAAGGAGTATACACATGAGAGTTGGGGGAGGGGAGAGGGGAGAGGGGAACAGTCAAAACGTCAAAAAAAAGTCCTGAGCACCCTGAATTGCGCTCTGCCAGATGGCACTTCCGAGTCCCGTCAGTTTCCGGGTATCACGTGGGCCCGTTACACCGGACCTTGATTTCCCTTTAGAAGGATTACGGAAGCATCAGGGCAAGACCATTATCCATTTCACAGCAGTCGATTGGGTCTTCCTGATAAATTCTGAGCAGGTCAGATTGCAGGCCACAAACAGCCTCCACATCAGGCCATGCTGAAAGTATTGCTTCCATTCTTTTGTTTTCTTTTCTGTGAGCATCATGAGGAGAAAAAAGAATGGTGAGGGATAAAAGCCAGGCGGGCAGGAAGTGACCCAAGAGAAAGGCAGAGATGACAAGAGCGGGAACATATAGAAGAGAAGAAGAGAGAGAGAGGGAGCAAAGAGTAAACAACAAAAACTATGTTACCAGAGTGGCCCGGGACCACTTGCCCAGCCAGGCTAACAGTGAATTTAAAAAATAACTAATAGTCGTTGATGCTTAACCACAGCCGGGGTCAAGGTGGATTGTCACTTACAGTGTAATCAGTTAGGGGATTCTGCAGACTGTTGAGGGTTCAGCCTCCTGATGAGTCGGTGAAACTCCGACGAAACAGTTGTCACAGCCCCTTGTTTGTTGTCCTCTTCTCCCTCTCTGCCTACGGTTTTCCGAGCAGCTCTGTTTGACGATATATACAACAACTTCGCTAGCACCCTGCTACGGTTTTCTCCGGTCAGGTTGCACGGCAGTGGTCGGGGCCGTCACTACGCGGCCATGGTCTGCCTCTAGTGCCAGCGGCTGGTCTGGAGCGTATTTTTTGGCTGTGACAGACCTTTCTTTGTTTCGTGGGCGTTTGTAATGGGTTATGAACCAACAGTCTGTAGAGTTCTCCATCTGGTGTGGGTGAGTGATAGTCTGCTTTGATTTTCGTCATAGGTACCTTCAGAGCAGTGGTTGGTGCCCACCTCAGGGTATCAGTTGTCAGGCAGTCGTTGATGCTTAACCACAGTCGGGGTTCAGTGAAACTTCGACGAAACAGTTTGTCACAGCCCCTCATTTGTTGTCCTCTTCTCCCTCTCTGCCTACGGTTTACCGGGCAGCTCTGTTCGACGATATATCTCGTCAAACAGTATACATCGTCAAACAGAACTGCCCGGTAAACTGTCGGCAGAGAGGGAGAAGAGGACAACAAACGAGGGGCTGTGACAAACTGTTTTGTCGGAGTTTCACAGAGTTATAAGGAGGCTGAACCCATGCATATCGTCAAACAGAAGTTGAAATACAGTCACAGTTAGATGACCAGAATAAAATACTTCTGAACTAGCTGGGGCCGGTCAGTTCAACGATGATAACTCAAGTAACCCTTTTAACGAGGAAAAAAAAAACAATGTGCAGCCCTTTTTAAAGAGGAAAAAGGGACAATGTGCAGAAAAATAAACTGAAGAACTTTTGCCCCAGGGTGGGATCAAAATTCTTTGCCAAATTATATATATCGTCAAACAGAGCTGCATATATATTATATACCTCTTCTCCCTCTCTGCCGACGGTTACCCGGGCGGTTCTGTAACCGTCGGCAGAGAGGGACAAGAGGTATATATTTAATTTGGCAAATAATTTTGATCCGACCCTCGGGAGAACGTTGTTCAGTATATTTTTCTGCACATTGTCTTTTTTTAAGTTTTTTTCCCTCTTTAAAAAGGACGACGGCCTTGAGTTATCATCGTCGAACTGACCGGCCACAAGTAGTTCAGAAGTATTCTATTCTGGTCATCTAACTGTGCCTGTATTCCAACTTGGGTCTGTATTTCAACGGTTCATATTTTTTCGATCCTATATTTTCTTTCTTTGCAGGGACCTTCCTTCCCTGTCCCTTGCCCAGCAGGGCTGCCCAGGCAACTCAGGTGACCCAGGCGGCCCGGTTGGTAACACAGCAACAAAAGGGATAAGAAAAGGAACAGTGCGAACTGAAAAGACAAGAACGCAAGGTGTGGATGAAAAGGAAAGAAAAATAAAGGCACAAACAAGTACAATCAGCGAGTCATGAAGGATACTAATGAACACCATCAGATGGAGAATGCATGAAGAACATAGAACTAGGATCACATCAAATCAAATCAAACTGAAGTTCGAACTCTTTGCCAGAGAGCACCACGTCTTCCTGAGCCCTTGGGAAAAAAAGAAAAAAAACTCAGCCCTGACCCAAAAGCAGCATGCTCACCATCGTTTCTCTCACACAAAAGGTTTGCTCTCCCCAGTGAAGGTGAAGTTGTAGGCCCTTAAAAAAAGAAAAGGCAGGTCCAAAATGGGGACCAAGCTCCATTTGATAATGAAAGACCACTGTTCAGTAAAATAAAAGTAAAAGAAAAATGAAATGTCATTATATTACTATTTTCTTTGTCCTCTGGCAGGTTTTGAACTTGTTTCACCCATACAAAAGGTTTGCTCTCCCCATTGAAGGTGACGTCCTAGGCCCTTTCAGAATAAAAAATAAAAGGCAGGTCCAAAAGGGGGACCTAGCTCCATTTGGCAATGAAAGACCGCTGCTCAGTAAAATAAAATGAAAAGAAAATGAAATCTCATTTGCAGTCATCACATTACGATTTTCTTTGTCCTCAGGCAGGTTTTGAACTAACTTCTCTATACATAGCTATGAGTGTGTACTCTGCAGCAATCGGCCAGGTAGCATTACACAGTCAGTAAGGAGCCACATGAAGTCACATGCACAATGACATCTTGCGGCATTGTTGCCATACTAAGATGTTAAAGGCAGTGTGAGCAGAATTTTCCCGTTTAATAGTTATTCTGGTCATATATGTCAAGGAAAATCCAGTGTGAGCACTGCACAAGTATATAGCCTTAGAACTGACGCCATAGAACCCTGTTGAGGACACATTCCGTCCGTCGTCCTAATGCCACGGAAAGGGTCTGACAGACTCACGCCTCACGTCTACAACATCCATGCATGCATGCACGACTACGTACGTGCATGCACCCATACATACGTGCATGCATGCATTTGTACGTGCATGCATGCAAGGGTCTGACAGACTCACGCCTCACGTCTACAACTTCCATGCATGCATGCATGAATACGTACGTGCATGCACCCATGCATACGCGCATGCACCCATACATACATGCATGCACCCATACATACTTGCATGCATGCATTTGTATGTGCATGCATGAATACATATGTGCAGGCACGCATACGTCCTTGCATGCACGCATACATACGTCCATGCATGCACACGTAAATGCATGCATGTGTATATACATGCATCCATGCATGCATATATACATGCACGCACACATATGTTTGTGCCTGCGCAAGCACGCACATATGTGCATGCATGCACCTACACATACAGGTCTGACAATATGAGAGTCACATTGAGTGAGAAAACAGAAGCATATCCGAGAGAATCCAAAACTCACCCATTGTCTTGTGCAAGGTCTGCCAATGTGTCGCCGAAACGGACCCGTATTGTTTTCAACCTTGAACCTGGTCTCTGTGATCGGATCGTCCTTAGAGTGTGGAATGACGCACTACCTGGTAGTGAAGGCAAATTTGCTGCACTGTCTTCCATCATCGCGTTTCTTTCCTGAACGTTTGCCAATCTCCACTTGGGAACCCTTCTGCCTTCTCTTCCAATTTGTGGCTTATCAATATACAAAACACTGCAAGCAATATTCCAGATATCTCAAAAAAACTCTCCAAAAGCCTGAAAAACAAAGGTCTGATCTCAAAAAAACACTATCCACAAGAAAATCTCAGAAAGACCATCAGTTAACACAACATTCTTAGCTTTTTCGAAAGGTCAATTATTTTGAGCCCAACCAATTCAATTACCTGTCAAATCTGGACAGGACGGCCTTTTTGATTATCATTATACGGGGAACCCTGAAGCAGCCACAAGTGTGTTCAACCAGGGAACGTGCGGGAGCTGCACCCACCAGCAGGTGCGATACCTGCTTCAGCAGGCGGGCAATACCGGCCAGGCATCAGCCGGTAGCATCAGGACCGAGCTTCTCCGATGGGCCAGTTGCTGTGCCTACCGTCCGGTTCCCCCCCCTTACGAACATCAGCAGTCTCTGCTCAATGTCAGTTGGGGGGGTCAACGACCTATCTCTAGGTGGTGGGCGCCAAGCTTTGCCCAGGAACCCAAGACCTCCTGAATGCCACTTGTGTGCCTTACCAACTGAGCTAGCTCGCCGGATTTAACACAACATTCAATCTATAGCTTCTACGACTGGCGGTCCAATAAATGGTAACCAAATTGCCTTCGGAGCCCCGTGGCCTACGTCTGGCACAAGAGCGCAATTCCGTTTGTTTGATTGAAAGACTTCTCGCGAAAAGTCTCTGAGCGTCCCAAACAGCTCAGTCACTGGCTGGGATGTGTTACCGGCCCCACTTTTGGTTTCCTGCTGATAACCTACTTGGTACAACTCAATGTATAGGTATCATTTGCTTAGAAATCTAGGCGAAGACGCGAAGAACGACTTCGTACTTTGAAGGGTCCACCAAGCGTACATACAATCAAAACTTTGTACCAAGTAATTAGTAAATACTGACTGCATGTCCATTGACAAAATGTTTGGATCGCCTTATCAAATGGGGGCCAAGCTCAGCGAACCAGCATTCAAACAATTAATTACAAAATTAATTAATTCAATTATTACAAATAATCCATTCAAACGATTAATTACAGAATTAATTCAAATGACCTATTCAAACCACACTCCATCCGGGCTTATTTTGACATCCAAAAGTTGCATTTCCCCAAGCCTAAAATCTACAGTGCCGCCGTGAGGAAAAAGAATTGTGGTACCCTTCCACACCCAACCTTCACTGGGCATGGGCACAGTAGATTTTGACCCGGTACTTGTAGACAAAAAAAATGAACAGTACAGGGACCGTTGGGAGTCGTGGTTTAATAGAGGTACATTTTCTTTTTTTTTCCAACAAAGCAGTGACTCTGGACGTTACTTTGAGACCTTACTTATTACATTCAGTACATTCTCCTTTCGTTTCCAACAAGGCATTTTATTTTAGCAAAGCCTACACAAATGACTTGCCTAGTTTGTGGCAAAGGAAAGAAAGCGAGGAGCAGAGCGATCGTGCACCAGAGATCACAATACACACCTGCCGAGCAGAATCTATGCCAAGAGGAAAAAGAAGAGCTCCTAATGTACTCGCCTGAAATACAGTACTAGAGAAATCGGCCACCGCAGCATCATATAAGGAAAGAGAAATCATCAAAACAGCTCAAAACATGATGTCGTTGCCATGAGCAGGCTGGAAAGGCGTTCAAAACTATGGATCGAAATTACAAAGGAGCAAAATACCAGCAAACAGAGAATCAGGCACATACATGCGCATCACAGAACTGTGTGTCAAAGACGAGAGGATATCGATGATGCAAAGAAGAGATCCCCATTCAATCTACCGAACTGGGGTGAACTCTCAAGGGAAGGTCATGATTCCCTCCCTGACGAGAAGGGGGGGKGGGGGGGGGGGGCGGGAAAGACCCAGGATCAGGAGAGAACGGGTCCCGTGGGGGAAGGTGAGGGAGCGGTGAAGGGAGTCGCAAAAATTCCATTTTGCAAAAGTTGTAACAGCAAAGCACTTATCCACCTATCCACAATCTTGGCAAATGGAAGTGCATAACTTGTACAAAAATCAGAAAGTGACACAAGTGTCATAAACTAAGCACTTTTGGTCAGACTCTGGTTATGCATTGGAGTAAAAAACAATAGAGGGTGAACCTCTAAGATTATTTCCACTGGGTAACATTGCCTTCTGAATGACATCGGCCTGTCTCTCTTGTTCTTGATCATGGTCGGGTCTTCTCACGATTCAAGGACAATGAACAGGCTGCTACCGACTCCATCTTCTCCCGGACCATGAAGTACTTAACCCATATATTATATCATTACACGTTGACACTCCACGGCTCCTTTTTAGGAAAAAGAGTTTCCCCTCCCCCCCACCAGGCTAGCTTCTCGGCTAATCAGAATTATTGTTCCTCTCACTGTTCACAGTGGTGGCAAAAGAGGAGGGCGAGAAAGCAGGGGGGAGAGAGAGAGAGAAAGAGTCTTTTAGTTGGTTATCAAACAATTAATTATTCCAGAACTTGGATGCTCAAGCAAGAAAAACATGCGCAAAGAGAGGGAGAGGGGGTAACCGAGATCACATAATCAGTTTCCCATTGAACTCGAAGGGGAACCAGGAGAAATGGAGATATACTGACTCCACACGTCTAGCAGAAAGTGACTTATTATTCATTACACATTAGGGAAGATCCGGGCTTCGTCAGGTGGGTTACCATGAGTTGAGCCTTAATCTTTACCTGCCCTCGATAATGACATCATCGCGAATCTTATTGAGCCTCTTGATTGATTCCACCGTGGTGCCATATCTGGCAGCAACATACTCTAGTGAATCTCCAGCCCCCACCGTGTGCATTCGTGTTTTCCTGAAAGTGAACTCAACAAGGTTGGCAATGGTAAGACGCTCGAGGGCGGCGCGAGCAGTCACCATATTAACAAGCCAGTTCTGCAAGGGAGAGATTGCCTTGGCTGATTGGGCAATAATTGTTAGCCGCTGTTTACTTGGTGATGACATTGAGCTGTTAGTGCTTGACAAGGACGATGACAATGGAGTCGATGATCGCAACAACGGAATCTTGATCTTTGAGCCAATCACCAGTTTGTCCGGATCACAAATACCAGGATTTGCTCGTAGCATAGACCTGCAGGCAGAAATCCAACCACCAAAAAAGGAGCAGAACAATCAGCAGAAGAATTAACAAAAGTAACTGTTACCTCAAGCCTGGCACAATGCAGGAGAGAAGGAAAGAGGGAGAGAGGGAGAGAGGGAGAGAGGAAGAGAGGGAGAGAGCGAGAGAGGGAGAGAGGAAGAGAGGGAGAGAGCGAGAGAGGGAGAGAGGGAGAAAAGGAAGGAGAGCAGGGAAGAGGCTTCAAAACAGAATAAAATAAAAATATATAAACCAACAGAGAAATAATCATCCATACACAATCTGGCTGCTAGATGGTGCAAACCACAGTTCCAATTGGACCCAGCAAATACTTGCGGCTACTCCGCTGACGGGAGAAGGGGGACCAGAAAAGGACAAGGTCACAACAATACAAGCACGGAAATCTCTTGAAAGCCCTATTCGCGTCTCCATCGAGCAAATACAACAACAGAGTACTTCGCAGCTCAGGTACGAGTCCTACAGTCTGCCTAGACTAGTGTGTTCATCTCATCCGCTATGCCCCTGAGCTCTGTCGGCCCCTGCCAATTACCGCTTATAGAGTCTGACCCCACTTGGCAGTCTCCCTGCCGGCAACCAGGTAAGTTTCCGCCAACTTCTCCTGTGTCCTTCCTCACCTTCGCGAGGACCACCTCCGTCCGACCACCACATCTACTATACAAGGAGCCCAACCAGCTATGGCCCTCGGCTTCCCTTCCAACACCTGCTGCTATGGCCCCAAAAGCTGCACGCTTACTACTTGCTCATGCACGTTTATGTAGTGTTGTAGCAGCCTGTAGGTGACTTGCCATATCTGTATCTCCCTTTACGTGCCCGGCCTTGACGTATATACAGTGGCTGGGTCTTCCTTGGGCTGGCATGTACTGCCTATGAACTTTCCAAAGTCAACCGAGACCTACCGGCCTGAAGGATTGTTACCGTTTTCCCAGCTGGGCCTCGCGGGCCTCTACCTCATAGACACAGCGCCTACCGGCCTTGTACTGCCTGCTGCACGGCCTAGGGGTCTCGCACCACAGTCATTTGCTAACTATTTTCAAGACAACGCCGGGGATAAAACAGGGAAAAAGAAAAGAGAGGGAGACGAAGACCAGAAACACACAAAGGAGGGTTCGGGGCGGGAGGGGGTTGGGGGGAAAGACAATTCTGTCCATGACCCATTGAAGACATCTCGGGATTTCAATGACACAGCTCACTTGACGACTCACAGACTGGGCAAGCATGCATGTGTTCTACATCAAGCATTTCTCCATTCTTTTGACAGTTTATTATTTCTTTTCTTTTCTTGTGGTATAAATTTGCAGGCCAAGTCTGTACAAGGAAACCACGCTGGAGAAACTCAATTTACAAGCACAACAATGAATTCTTGTGCCAGCACGCATATGGCAACAGGGCAATTAGCAGAAGTGACAAAAATGACCACACCAGCAGAAGAATTCATGCTGTTTACGTCGCTTGAACATTGGCTCATTACTTCATTGTATTGCTCTATATGGATGGTTTCTCGGTGCATTTTGTACTCTCTTCTTGGATATGACTACCTCGACATCTGGTGATTTCGCAACATTGGTTTTCTGTACATCGTTCATCGGAGCTGGTTCGTGATCGCCGCTTACCTCGCACCAGCGACATTGTTACTTGCTGCGCTGGCGATTCATGTGCAGTAAGGATACTTCGGCGCTGGTTTGCATGAGCGGGGCCCAGGTAGAGGGGCCGGGCGCTGGAAGGCTGTGGCGACAGCATGGGAGCTGCGGCGACAGCATGGGAGCTGCGGCGACAGCAGATGTATGTATGATGATGAGAGTATGCTGACGTGGCATTTTGGCTGAGGTGGCACTGCATTGCGTTGTGGGTGGTACCGAGGATATTGACCGGTCATCGAAATGCACATCGGCCCAATTGGTGAGAAATCTGTGGTTGGGGGCAGCTATCTCCAGGTACGTTGTTCCCATTCCTTATCTACCCTCTCAATCTCTTCTTACCGCGAGGAAGTGAGTCCAACTTTAGTGTCCTCACTTTTGAAAGGAGTCGTGTGCGCTCTATCTTGAGAGACGACATTCTTCCCAGTGGCGCATCTGGCAGGAGAGGGCGGTGCCTCTGAAGCGCCCTGGTCGAAGCACGGGTCACGGTCACCATGCCAACCCATGGGTATTAGTACATGCAGGCGATGCTGCTTTGTCCATTAAGGCACTTTGCTGCGCTGATAGAAGTGGTATGCGGACTGACCAGTCCTACATAGACGCTCCCAGACCGTATATAAACATTTCTGGTTGGGGTCTGAACTGTCCACTGGCTGTGATCCTCGTCCTGACTGCGAAGTTAAAGAATTCCTGAGGACTCTCGGGGGCTGTCCGTAAATTGCCTCTTGATCAGCCAGATCAGTCAGACGTAAGGCTCGTTGCACGCGAGGGTAAATAAAGGGCAGGACTGGTCATAAGCATACCTCTTGGGCACAGGAGTGGGCTGTGGTCGCACACCTTAAACACCGCAGCTTGATGATGCTCACAGGTACGTTGGATACAGGGGACGGGGATTCCAGTTGTGAACTCAACTAACCATCACTATTTTGACCATTGGCCATACATCTGCTCACCTAATCTATTTTTATTTTGATTAGTTGGTTGACAGACTGCTGACACCTAACGACAGCCTAGAGTAGGACTGTAATCTACCATAGTCAGTTCTTCTCAAAGCTTCTGTTCGGAACTAATCAGGATAGAGGTAGATTACGTGTATAGTCCGTATAGGTGTTGTTGATACCGCTTGAGTAGTAGCCGGGAGTTGACTCCCTGGGTGATTATTTGTTTATTTATTTTTAGCACCAGTCAAACACATACTGCGGTAGGTCCCATAGAGGACTCTAGTCCAGACAGCGTCTGCCTAGCCGATGAGTGGATCAGCCAGGGATGAAGGTGTAGCTGACACTAGGAGGTTAACAAGGCTATCATCACTTAGAATCCGTAGAGTGTTCCAGGTACTACAACTGGGAGAAGAGAGAAGACTAAGGGCCGAAGCTAGGGCCCGTAGTCTTGAGGCTGCAAGGGAAGCAGCAGCAGCTAGCAGTGTAGCAATGGCTACCACTTCAGTAACGTCTGCAGCAACTTCTGGTCTGGGCATGCCGTCCAATTCGACCAGCTCGCAGTCAGTCTCCAATACGTCAGGTGCCGGCATTCCGGGTGTGCAGTCCAGCCTGCCACCTCACTAACCAAGGGAGCAGATGGAGCTCCAGCAGGTAGAGAGGATCCGCCTGAGGTTAGAGGAGGAACTCAAACAGGCTACTAAGAAGGAAAAAGAAATTAGAGAGAGAAGAACCAGACTAGAGAGTAGGGAGGCAGACCTAGCTGCACTAGAGGGTTTAGCCGACGCGGCCCTTAACTCTACAACAAAGATTCTGAAGGCAAGCATACTGTCCATGCAGGCGTACATGGAGAGCAAAGGACGCCATGCAGGACACCCTGGACCAGATCCTGCAGGCCCTACAAAGGTCGGGGCCCCGGACAACAGCTAAGCCATCGCTTCCATTATCAGCGATGACAGGGCCCTATGCCGCTCAGTCTGGGCCTTGGTATCCCAAGACCCCACTGAAACCACCTCCCAACTGCTCAAGAGACAGGAAGGATGAAGCTCTTGACACGTGGTTGAGAACGGTTTCAGTGTGGGTGAGGGCAAAGAGGACTTTGGTAGAGGAGGAGGTGATAACTACTGCATCCTATTTAGAGGGTTCAGCAGCCCGCTGGCTTAATGGATTGGTAGCTTCCAAGGGGTTTGGCAGGAACATGGGTGACTGGGCACAGACCCACACCCTAGAGAGTTTTATGGACTTAGTGGAGGCTCAATGGCACAACCCTCGGCAGGCACAGATTGCCACTGATGAGCTACTAAAGCTTGATGCTAGGAAATACAAGTCGGTGAGAGAGCTTACCACGGTCGTAGAGCGCCTGATTGTCGTCCCAGGAGTTCAGGACAATCCACAGGTCTTGTTGACCACATTCTTGAGATGTCTTCCCACAGACATAATGAACTTATTAGCTAGTGAGGCTCTTAGAGAGTATCATACATTTGAGTCATTCAGCAAGAAGTCCCTAGACTTAGAGGCTACCCTAGGTAGTGCTCAAGCCCCCTCTACGGACGGAAAAAAGAAGAAAGTTCCACAAGAGTGGAAGAAAAAGGGAAGTCGATTGATGATGATTGATTCTGAAGGGAATCAAATTGAGATCGATGACGTTTCTGAGCTTGTGGAAGGGACAGAGTTAAACGGCGAGGAGATGGTTGAGGGTAGCAATCTCGCCACTGTGGTTAAGACTAAGGCAATTGGCTGTGGCAAGGGCGGTCAACAGAGGAGTCAGGGGCAAGCCGCCAACCCAAACAAAATAGCTGCTTGGGTGGTAAGGGCTGGTTTGGATCAGGAAGTGTGGCGGGACCGTTGGTTGCGTGGTGCTTTCATAAACTGCGGCCAGTATGGCCATACGCAGTTTAAGTGCAAGAACCCGAAGGTCCTGCAGAAGATCCCTCCTAAGGGTGGGTTCCTTCTTCTCAGTCTGGGGCCAGTACGAGCTCCAGCCCGGGAAACACTTAGGGCCGGTAGAAGTTGTAGCTGCTTCTATTATCGTTGGGTGATGTACCCTCCCCGTTTCAAGAGTTGGCCGAAGCTATTGACTCCTTAGTCACCCCGAAGACGCATCCGGACCCAACTATGCTTTGTACGTTGGATGTGTCTGGTGAGTGGTCCACAAGGGACCCTCGTGAGTCCTGGGTGGCACTAAGTAGAGGTCCTAGAGGGGAGCACTTCGTTGTCGAAGTTGGTGTAGGTGGTCGGAAGTGTGGCGCCTTCGTAGACATTGGCCCAACACAAAACTTCATAAGTCGCGATTGCGTTGATAGATTGCGCCTACAGGACCGGGTGCAACGCCTTAGTACACCAGTAGCATCTACTTTGGCCAACAAGGAGCGCATGACAGTGGAGGACTATGTTAAGGTCG